AAAAAAAGACTTTAAACGGTATCAATAATGGAGGAAAAAAAAAAAAATGACATATTTTCCCGTCTTGTGTGTATTAAATGCCACACACACACACACAAACACACTCAAAAAAAGTTTTCACGGTTAATTTGATCCGCTCTCTATTTAAAAAATTGAATATTCCAAAACCTATATTTATCTAAAGAATTCTCTCTTTCATTTTTACTCCCTCCTCCTCTTCCTCCTCCTCTGTTGTTCGCACGCTCCCCCCCTTCCACATTGATCCCCATTTCCTCTTGTACCTGCCCCCTCCTCGCACCTTCCAAGAAAATATTATCCCCGGTAATAGAGATGATATTCGTTTCGAACGTGCAATTAAACGATTTTTTTTTTTTTTTCGAAACCTTGATACATATTCGTATAAAAATGTTTATGGTTTTGTGTGTGCGCGTTCGTACGTGCATCAGGATGATGTGATGGGAGGGAGGAAGGGGGGCAAGGGGGCAGGGTAGGGGTGTCGCGAATTTTTTTTTTTTTTTTTTCTCGTTGCGTACGGTCACAGCCGAAAAGAAAAAAATTTGTTTCGATTTTATTTTTATTATTATTATTATAAACGTCATCGATCGATAAACAAATTTTTATTTTTTTGATAAGAAAAAAAAAATTGATAACGAAAAGAGGGAAAATACGAGAGGGAAAATTTTTTCTCTTTTCATTTGATTACGTCATACGGTGGGAAAATTTTTCTCTAAGAATTCAATAAAAATCTCCAATCTGCAAGTTTTACCCTTCCCCCTCCTCTCTTCACTTCTTCACCTCCTTCGCCCTCCCCCCAATGGAATTATTATAAATATCATCGTTATTATTATTATTATTATTTTAATTTGACGTCACGATTGTATTTATGTGCGACCGAGTATTAAAAAAATAAAATTCGGCATCGGACGACAATGCAACAAACGAAATTCTATCATCGCGTGAATGAATGAATGAATGAATAAAATGAAAACCCCTTCGAGGCGAAAAAATCCGTTCGCCGTACAATAATAATAATAATAATAACAATAATAATAATAATAATAATAATAATAATAACGACATTTAATAAAATCAAGTCATTCACATGATAGATTACGCACGCGTATAAAAGTTATTCCACACCTGGACAAAAAAAAATAAAATAATAATAATAATTTTTTAATTAATACGTAATAAAAAAAAACCTTTGTTCTCTCTCTCTCTCTCTCTCTTTTTCATTCTTTTTAATAATATAATAATAATAATAAATGTTTGATTGGTCTTCTGCTAGTGTTTAAAACAAAAAAAACACTTGGAGGGATATTTAAAAAACTTGCAAATTCGAATGAAACGATTTTTATTACTTCTACTACTCGGAAATGATGATGATGATGACCTTCTTCACCATTTTTTCTTTCCTGTTGTTTTTATTATTATTATCACTTTTGAAAACGACACGAGTTTGTGTACTTGTCGGAGTTTTTGTGAATTTATTCCAGGCTCTACCCGATCCCTTAGGAATAAATACTCGTGGGTGCTCCTGCTTTTGAAAAATGTGGGCCGTCCCACATAGTGCGATTTCCTGGATGGTTTCTTCTTTTAAATTCTTCAAAATCTTCTTCAGATTTCCTCCTATTGAATGTAGTATGGCTCCCAGTGCTGCTCCCACGATGACCGGAATAGTTTCTGTCTTTACTTCCCACATCCTGGCTATTTCAGCCTTTTGTCCTCTTCTTTGCCCCTCTGGTGTTTTTCCCGCCGATACAGATACTTCAATTAGCTTACACCGCCTTTTAGCATTATGTCTCAGGATGATATCCGGTTTGTTGGCTGGCACAGTTCTGCCAATGTGGATTTCTGTTGGTACCATTCCTTGACTAGTCCATATTCACGACAGATATTCCAATGAAGACATTTAAAAATTTTCTTATGCCTTTCTACATATTATTATTATTATTATTTATTACGATCGTGGAATATCAAATCTAATGACTTTAACAAAGCTCTTTTTCAATTTTATAAAAAAAATGAAGAGCCCGGAGGAGAAAGGGGGAAGAAGAAAATCAGTGGTAATAAAAAAAATTTTTCATCGTAGGAAAATTTTTAATTATCTCGTTCGTTAATGTCGCATAAAAAAACGCGTGCATTTTTTTTTTTTTTTTAAATTATTTTATTTTATGTTGATTTTTTTTTTTTTTTTTTACATAAAAACGGCTGAATTCTCTTCTACGTTACGAAAACTAAAAAAAAAAAAAAAAAAAAAATAGGAAAAAAAATCGTTTTTATTTAAACTCATCAAAAAAAACACGCAAAAGGTTATTTCGTACCTGTGACCTTTTTTTTTTAATAGACTCGTACTTAAACCTTATTGCTTTTTTTTTACGTTTTAAACGTAAATTTAAAAATTCAATTTTTTATTTTTTATTTTTTTTACAGAAAAAAAAACAAATATTCCTTTCACGTGGTTTTTTTTTACAAAAATTTTATTATTATTATTATTATTATTATTATTATTATTATTATTATTATTATTATTATTATTATTATTATTATTATTATTATTATTATTGACTATTATCGTCCGAATGCAAATTTATTTAATGACACGAAAAAGAAAAAAAAAGATGAACGACAGCAAAAAAAGAAAAAAAAAACTCATCACCGTTAAAAAAAAAAAATTTTATTTTATTTTATTTCATTATTATTATTATTATTATTATTATTATTATTATTATTATTATTATTATTATTATTATTTTTTTTTTTCATTTTCTTTCTTTTTATGTACGGTTGGAATGTCATAAAAAAAATACTAATAATAATAATAATAATATTCAATTGGATTTTGAAGATATAATAATATTTTGTAAGCGAGTTTTTTTTTTTTTTTTTTTTTTTCATTTGATTAATGATACCTGTGTGCTCCCAGGGGGGTCTATCTTTCTCTCTCTTTCTCTCTCTCTCTCCCTCTCTTTTTCTCTCTCTCTCTCTCTCATCTTTTTTTCTATAGCCGGAAGGAGAAGAATTTAATACGAGTCACCATAAGTCACACTTGTCTGTTCTAATCGAAAACTTTCCATACGTACGTATCCGAACGTGATTTTATTATTATTATTATTATTTTTTAACCATTATCATAGTCATTTGTTTTTAAATGATCCGAGCACGCGCACACACGCACATGCACGCATTTTTTTTTTTTTCTAAAACGAACACAAACGATTCGAAACGGTTCGGTCAATGGTGTTCGAAAAAAAAAAAAAAAAAATTCAACTGAATTAATCCATTACTTTTATTGTCGTCCTCGTCGTCGAGAAATTATCGTTTCGTTCGAGAACTTTCCAAAAAAATTATTATTATTATTATTATTATTTTTATTAATAATATCATTATTATTATTTTAAAGAAATCGATGTCTTTTTTTTCTGAAAAAAAAACGGTCGTTGTTTTAAAAGTAACCCGCACTACAATTTTTTTTAAATTTTTAATTACGGTTCGTTCTTTCGTCGGTATCATCATTATTATCATCATCGTTCCTATCATTATTATTATCATTATTATCATTATTATCATTATTTATATAAATCCGCGAAAACGATTACAATTCGCATAAAAATAAAATAAAAAAAAAATTTTTTTCTATACTTACAGGTGTGAACGTTGCAATAAATACCCGTAAAAAAAAAACTACTTTTATCATTATTATTATTATTATTACTATTACTAATATTATTATTATTATTAAAAGTTTTTTTTTTTACAATATTATTATAACGATGATGATGATGATGATGATGATATCGCTCATTAAAAAAAAAAAAAATGGAAAAAAAGTTTAAAAACCTCAATAAAATTTAATTGTTTTTACATAAGTGATCGATTTTATTATTATAATCATCATCATCATTATTATTATTATTATTATTATTTTTCAAATAATTAGTTATAATTGCGGGAACGAACGAACGAACGAACGACGACGACGCACATTTTTAAATGGATTGTTTAATAAAAAATAATAATTTTTCTCAAACCGAAAAAAAAAAAATTTAAACATTACGTACGAAGAGTCATTAAAATAATTTTCCACTCCTTTCATTTCCCCCCCCCCGCTCCCTTTTAATTATTATTATATTTTTTTCGGTAAATTTAAAAAAAATAAATGGTAATAATAATAATAAATTATTTATAATAATGATAATAATAAACTTTTTTTATGACAAACAACATCGCGTTTTTTTTTTTTTTTACAAAAATCGTCAATTTTTATTTTATTAATGATAGCCCCCCACCACCCCCGATTTTGTAATAATTTTTTTTATCTTTTTAAATATACATTTATATATAACGATGATGATGATAATAATGATTATCCATTGTACGTGTCCGTTATCATTAAAACAAAAAACAAAAATTTTAATAAAAATACAATAGGACGAGTTTTTATTAAAATAATTATCATTATCCTCATTATTATTATTATTATTATTATTATTATTATTATTCTTTGTTGTTGTTAACTATTAGAAACAATAAAAAAAAAAAAAACTTTCGTATCGAAAACGTTCGGTTTTTTTTTTTTTTTAAATAAATTTTAAATTTAAATTATTTGCAAATCTCTTTTGAACCGGAATTAAATTTAAATATTTAATCATAATTATTATTATTTTATGCATGAAATAAAATTTATATCGAAACCAATTTAATAACCATTATAATAATAATAATAATTATTTATTAAAAAACAATATTTAAAAATAAAAAAGAAGAAGACTATACATCGTCAATTAAAATTTTTTTTTTTTTTCGGTTCGTTTGTCGGTTTGTTTCGTTGTGTCGATTATTATGGCCGTCGTCGTAATTTGATCAAAAAAAAAAAAAAAAAATTTAAAATTCACAGGCGAGCAGGAAGAAAAAGAAGTAGATGAAAAATTATTCTTTGGCTAAATTGATCCGTTGATGCGAATCGATTAAATTATTTTTTTTTAGAAAAAAAAAATAGATCAAAGTCTGATTTTTTGTATTTTATCGAAAATCATCGTAAACGTCGGCCTTTCTTTCGAATCCAATTTCCAACATGGCGATATGACTTTGACGTAAACGAGTTGCGGACACGTCGGCGGACACGGCAATCGTGCACCGCCTTCTAAAGCCGTCAACAATTGGGATTGATTGACGTCGTCCGAACAACAGGGCAATGTCGGATCTTCCCCGAGGGAAAACATTTCGTATAGAGTCACGCCGTACGACCAAACGTCCGAATAATGAGAAAATCTTCCGTCTCTTAAACTTTCCGGAGCGTACCTGTGACAAAAAAAAAAAAAACCTTAACCGTTAAAAATCACGTGATTACGTCTCTGTCGACGCGGCAACACCGCAATCGCAAAATTTCCTTTTTTCGTATCCCTTCTTTTCTTACCATTTTATCGGTAATTCCCGATTTGTTTTTAAAATGTAATAACTGTTTTGTTCCACGACTTGTGCCAAACCGAAATCAGATATTTTAACGTGATTTTCGCTTGCTACTAATATATTTCTAGCTGCTAAATCCCTGTGCACAATGTTTTTCTTTCCTAAATATACCATTCCCTACGGGAGAAGGGGGGGGGGGGAGAGAAAAAAAACAAAAAATTAAATCACATTAAAAAAATCGAGTCATAATTTTTTTTTTTTTTTAACAGTAAATTCGACGTACGCTTGCGACATCCGAAGCAAATTTGAGCAAGGATTCAGGTTTAAGAGTTTCCTTGTTTATTTTCAAATAAGTTTGCAAAGAACCGTATTGGACATATTCCATGACTAGACTTATGTCGGGTTCGTGAATCGCTCCTATTATTTCCACAATGTTTTTGTGTTTCAAACTCTGGAAAAGGAAATTTATATGTCAAAAGAGAGTAGTCGTAAATTAGAGTAGTAGTGGTGGGGGTGGTGGCGGGCAATTAATTACCTCCATTATTGAAATTTCACGTTCTAAATCGTGTCGTGTCGTGCTGAGAGCGTTAGCTTTTAATTTTTTCACGGCTACCAACTGAGGTTCGTGATCGGCTCTTTCTAATATCCCTTTGTACACCTCACCGTAGAATCCCTTCGGCAAAAAAAATAAAAAAAAAATTAATTTAAACCTTTTTTTTAAAAAAAAAAGGTTTAAAACGACACTCACTTGTCCTATTCTTCCCTGAAGAACAACGTTGCAATTTTTATCTATTTCGAATATGCTTTGAATGTACGTGTCACTATCCAAAGAACTGCTCAAACTTGATTGAAACTGTGCCAAAAACGCTGAAATGTTAGGCGACATGATCTGAGTAGACTAAAACGAAAAAAAAAATTAATGACACGATAACAATTAATCGATTTCAATCCGAGTCGAATAATAATAATAAACTTATTAAAAAAAAAGAAAATCTTACGTAAGCTTCCCCCAAACCCTTAAACAATAAATTTTCTATTTTCGGATTATCTATTGTACAACTGGAAGACAAATCGGAGAGCGGAATCAAATTATCAGTCGGTATGTCCGTGACTAGAAATGTTTCGGCGGTTGCATCAGACCATAAACTTGTGTTCGATTCCGTCATACTATCCTGATCGTCGTTTTTAAACGCTTTCGGAAAAGCCGTGGCGTAAGAATGCACCCTTCGCGAATTGAAAACTGAACACAGAAAAAAATTATAAATAGTTGGAAATTACAAATTTAAATTTCGCAATATTATCATTATCATTATTATTATTATTACTTTACCTTGATACAATATTTGATTAATATCTCGCATAATCGCTTGAGGTTTTTTCCGCCTGTCAATATCTGCGTCCCAACACTCCAATATTAACCTGTAAATGTCAATCGGACAACCGATTGGCAATCCCAACCTCTTTCCTCTTATGTAATTCTAAACAAAAAAAACATAAAATTAATTTTTTTACATAATTATTATTATTATTATTATGTCATATTTCAACTCAAAGCCTTACGTCTTTATCATTTCCCATATCCGGAGTGGCTCCAAACGAAAATATTTCCCACAGAGTCGTACCGAAAGCCCAAACATCAGCGGACGGAATTGTTTTGGCCAATTTAAAATCGTAATAGCATTCTGGTGGTATCCAATGAACACTAAAATAATAATAATAATAATAATAATAATAAGTTTTTAGGAGGTCGAATGCAAAACCGAGTCGTAACATGTAATTATCATACTCTTCATTCGAATATTTGTGTAGGCCCGGATCGCATAATTTTATTAGGCAAGTGTTTTCGTTGTGTACGCTGACTAGAAGTTTCCTGCATCTAATATTCCCGTGAACTATCCCACATTCTTCCTAATAAATAATATATATTTCAATTAGAAATTAAATTGACGGAAAGAAAAAATTTTTAGTAAGGGGATAAATCGTTCAATTTACTAAATGCCACAATGCGGAAGCAATATAAGTTCCGGCTTCGACCAAATCCACATCTTTCATCAATATTTTTTTGTCTCTGAGGTAAGCATCGAAAGGCCCGTAAGGTAAATATTCCGAGACCATAGAAACGGGTCCGCGAAGAGTAATTCCGAATAATTTGACGATGGAATTCGATTGCAAACATGCCCACGAACCGGCCAATTCAAGTAATTCCTGGAATGATGGGATATTATTGCAAATATTCGTGCATCGTGTAAAAAAATGTTCATCCGCGTTTGAATTTCATTAGCTTACACTCAAGTACGAATCTCTAAATTCTGGTTTTAAAACTTTCATTGACGCTTCGACTTTTCCACCATTTTGAAGTTTTAAAATGCTACGATAATGATACATTAATGAACTTTGACTTTCTTTTTTGACACCTTTGAACACTTGAAGATTTTTTATATTTATGATAATGGGAGAACTGCTTTTAATAGTGTCTAAAGAGTCTACTGGTAAATTACCACTTTTGTCTACTTTTAAATCGGAAGCACAGACCAACAATTGAGTTTTATCTAAAGTTGTTGTCGAATAAAATGTTTAATTTAATTTTGATGCTTTGTAAACAATTTTCAAAAATCAAGTTAGTAATTACCAAATTCCGATGGAGGAATACATTCTAAAAGTGTGACTTCTCCATCGCTGTGCCTGTATGCATTCACTAAAGCAACCATTGTTGGATAAGTTTTTTGGTCGAAGCTAAAAAAATAACCTGCACCTTTTACTTTTTCTATTTTAAAAGTTTTAGGCTTTGCCGAATTCTGCGTGCAAACATCTAAATAATAAATGTCATAGAGAGTTTCACTTTCTCTTATGATAAATGTTCCAGGTTTATTATTTCTTTTTTCTTCTAATTTAGAATATGAAAATTGACCTCTAAAAAAAAAAAATAATGATAATAATTAAATTAACTTATCCATTGAACCATTGTTAAATCATATGATTTTATTTACCCAACAGGACCGTGACATTTTAAATTTTGTAATGTTTTAAGTGATGGAGAAAACACATCTTTACATAAGTTAAATATCCATTTACAACTAAACCTGTAATAACCATCTAACAGACTAACAAACGAATACATGACCAATGTCGATGTAAATCTAAAATATGAAGGTATTCCATTTTTTCTACAAATTTCAACAGTTCCATCATTTCTAACAGATATATAACATAATTCTTCAATTGAACATAAATATTGCCACTGAAAAAGCAAATTAATTATGTAATTTATCAAAACAATAAAACATATAAAAGTAAAATATTTGTAAATGTTATAACTCACTTGAACTCTATCGATTTTAGGATAAAAAACGGGAGAAATTTAAAAAAAGGAAATTTCTGTAATGGAAAAAAGAAATTAGGAGGAAAAAATTAGGCTTGCTATTTTATGATGGTAAATTTTATTAAATTTTAAGAATGATAATTCTCATACCTCATCTTTTTCATCGAAAAGATAATTAATTCCAGACTGTTCTTTTGCGAAGGGATTCACATGAATAGAAACTAATTTAATCGAACCACCATCATCCATTTGAGCATTGTATTTTTCGCTTAAATAATTAGGTGCAATTTTATCAAATAAATTTAGGTATTCTTCTTTGACAAACCAACCATCCTGTTCTTTTTTTATTTTAATTTTACTCAGTGATGTATGAATTTTTGGCTTAATAAACAAAAAATGATGTTTAAGCAATGATTTCGGAATGTATTTCTTATAATCGGATTCGATTTGATCGACAGAAAGTCCTTGTTCGATCATAACTCTGTACATATCTGTCACACCTAATCCTAATAATTCTCCTTTATGCTTTTCATAACTTATATCTGGAACTTGATTATCTAAAATATCCTTTCTGACTTGATGATAATAATAATTGAATGCTTCCAAATCAATTTGCTTTAATCTACTTAATTTTGGAACTTTAAAACGAAGTCTATAATCGAAAACACAATCAGACCTCATTTCAGAGAGTTTGTAACTGGGGAACAACCAAATTTTTGTATCTCTAACTCTGAGTGAAAACAAATGTCTACAAATAGGTCCAATTCCTAATGTTTTAGCTATTTCTAAACAAACATCTTCAACAGTCGTTGTGTCATATACAGGCACTTTAATATTATTTCGTTCGGTTAATAAACGAATTTCGGCGAGTCTTTCCGGTGATCCCATTCTTTAACTGAAATATAAAAAAATTATATTATTAGATTGTGTTTGAGCAGCCATTATAATAACGTTAGAAATGAAGAAGATAAAGTGATAAACATAGAATAAACAGATAGTATCAAGTTTACATCTTAAAAAAAAAAACACGCACATGATGATTTTAGTCGTATTTAATAAATTAAATTGTATTTTAACGTCATATTAACATAAAAATAAGTTTTTAAATTAAAAATTTAATTTAAAAATATTTGTTGTCAACTGGTTGTCATTAATGTAATTTATTAAATAATTTGTGTGTGTGCATAATGCACACTGTTTATTTTTAAACTTTATAAACAGTTGCCATAGTGCTTAAAGTTGCCAACTTTTGAAAAAAATTTTTTTTATTTTTTCCTTTTTTAAACTTTAAAAGAAAAGAAAAGACATTTTTTTTGTAATTCAAAAAAGGTAATTACCCTTTTTTTATTTTATTTAAAATCTTATCGGTTCTGTAATTATCAACTGTTAATATATATTAATAAGTACATTATGTTACATAAATCCGTTTTAAAAAGAAAAAGTCGTATTAACAATTTTAATTTAATTAAAACAAATGATGCAAACTTAGCAATAACATAAAAGGTCGAAAAATAAAAACGGCTGCAAAAAAAGTTTTTTTTTTTCTTTTTGTTTCTTTTTGATTTTATCAATTAAAAAAACGTTAATTGAAAAATGTATACAACTTGCATAAATATTTAAAATTATGCTCGTCTACGCCAAAAATTTAAAAAAAATGAATTTGCTTACTTGGCAAATATTAATTATTGTAGTTGAATTTCTATGGGAGAATTTAAATTTAAATTTGTGGATTTGCTTAAATTTTTTAAATAATTTGAAGTAAGGTTGCTTTAAATGATAACATTACATGGTTAAAAAGAAAAGAAAAAAAAAATTTTTCGTCTGGTAATTTTTAATCAGAAAATGCGAAAAAAAAATAAAAAAATTTTCATCATTGATAATACCCTGCATAGTGTTGAAATCAATTTAAATTATCTTGATGAATTATTTGCAGCCTTATTATTATTAATATTTCTAATCATTTATGTTTTTTATTTAAATACTTAAAAAGAAGTCAAACTAAGGGAAAATTTGATAACTTAATAGTATTGACAAAGTTTTACTGTAAGGATGCAGTCTTAGAATCATATAAGAAATTGAAAATTATGTGGAAATAATTTTTTTTTGTGATAAAATTAATTAGTCGGATGAAAAGAAAAAAAAAAACAATGCGAAAACTTATATTTAAAAAAAAATTAATATTTAAAAAAAAAAAAAAGAAATATGGATGATAAGGCGCATGATATAAATGCGCGAGCATTCAGCGCAGCCCGGACATTAAAAGGGTCGATATCGCGCGGGCGAGGGCAGTACCGACAAGGCAACGGTAGGGCAGTTGCACCGGCCTGGCCTTGCAGCGCAGCATGAGGGCCGTCCTCTGCCTGCTGCTGTGCGGCCTGCAGCCGAGCCTGCAGCACGCGGTATCAAATGAATTTGTACAAAATACAAATTTTTCTAATGAGACCGCCCAACAAAAGGATCCTCTGTTTCCAGAGGATCTATTTACCATGGAACAACGACGACAAGGGGCCGTTATACTACACATAATGGGAGTCATATACATGTTCGTGGCATTGGCTATAGTTTGTGACGAGTTTTTTGTACCTTCATTGGATGTCATAATCGAAAAATTGGACATCGCGGACGATGTGGCCGGAGCCACATTCATGGCTGCCGGAGGTTCCGCTCCAGAACTATTCACCAGTGTTATCGGTGTCTTTGTGTCTTTCGATGATGTCGGTATCGGAACTATTGTCGGTTCGGCCGTATTTAATATCTTATTTGTGATTGGAATGTGCGCTTTATTTAGCAAAACCGTGCTTACGTTGACTTGGTGGCCACTGTTTCGCGATTGTACATTCTATTCAATGTCGCTCATCACCCTCATATTGTTCTTCCGAGACAACTATATTGAATGGTACGAAGCTCTAATACTCTTTAGCTTCTACCTCATGTACGTGTCTTTTATGAAATGGAATCAGCCAGTCGAAAGATTTGTTAAGAAACATCTATACAAGAATAAAGTGACAAGAGTAAGAAGCACGGATCAGCTGATGCCTTCGGTGAGTCCTTTTAAATTCCTTATAGAAAATTTTTCAAAACTTGACAAAAATCGATGGTTCGATATTATTATTATTATTATTATTATTATTATTATTATTATTAGAGCCCTAATTGCAATTTTTTTTTATTATATCTCGTATTAAAAAATCATTATTAACAACAACATTATAAAAGTCTACAAAAAAAAAAAAAGGTTGCAATTTATACAACATAAATTAAATTTTCCAAACGGATGTAATTTCCGTTTCCTGGCATTTTAAATTTTACAAATAATTATTATTATTATTATTAACAAAAACCCTTCGTGTTGTCTCCCGTTTACTCCATCCCTAAAAAAAAATTTTTACTTCTAAAAAACAATACGACAAACATGAGAGAGAGAAAAAAAAATCGTTAAACAAAATTTTTCCAGGATTTTCCTTGATAAAAAATATAGAAAAAAATTTTTTATATTTTTTTTAATTTCGTGCGTTCATTAATTAAATTAAATTTGCTTTTTATAAAAAAAAAGAGGGAGAGAAACAGAGAGAGAGAGAGAGAAAGACAAAGTTTTACTTTGGAAAAAAAGACGAAAAAAACAAAACCTCACAAAATCGATGAAGTTTTTTTTTTTTTTTTTTTCGTGTCATTAACAAATAGGGGGGCTTTGTGAAATTTTTTCAAATATTGTTTTTCGATTTTAAACTTTAAAACAAAAAATTTCCAGATGAAATTTTTTTGTCCAGTAAAAAAAAAAAAATGGTTGAAATTTAAAATAATCTGATGTACTTAACAAACACGCGAAAAAAATTTTTAAAGTCAAAGGTGACGTGGAAAATGAAAAAAAAAAAAAAAAAATTGTAAATTTATTAACGTTAAATTTTTCTTTTTCTTTTAAAACATGCGAAACTAATGAGAGAGAGAGAGAGAGAGAGAGAAAATTTTTATTTAAAATCGATATTTTATTTTCTTATTTTTTATTTTTTAATTTATAATAAAATTCATAATAAAAATTCGGTCAATTAACCGCCTCTTTTCCCGCTCTTTTCCTCTTTTCCCTTTTACCCCTCCCCCTTTCCCATTCTCCTTCCCCTTTCGGAAGAAAAAACAAAAAAAAATTTAGCAAAATTTGCATTTGGTCAACGTACAAAATCTAATTACACGCGATTAATAAAAAAAAAAAAAACAAAAACGAGTCGTGGCGTTAACATAAATCGTTTATTTATTCTATGAAATTGAAAAACGTTTTTTTTTTTTTTTGTTGTTATCAGTCTCGAGGGTTTGTGATAATAATAATAATAAAAAAATACGGGGAGTCGATTTTCTATCGTTTTTTTTTTTTTTTTTGATTGACGGTCCTTTCAATAGCAGACGACATTATTTTCCAAACATTTTGGAAAATTTTATTCGCACGATTGAATAATAGGTCGACCGTTGTTCTCTCTCTCTCTCTCTCTCTCTCTTTTCCTTAACTTTTTAGACATGTAGAATTTAAAAAAAAAAAAAAAAATTTTCTTTTTTTCTTCCCGTCGAACAAAAAAAAAATTGATTTCGCGTCGGCCATTTTGTTTTTATTATTATTATTTAATTCGGCGATTTTTTTTCATAATTTATTTTAAAAAATTTTTTAATAATTAAAAATTAATTTGAAATTCTATAAGGAAAATTATGGGAGACAGAGAAATAATAATTTTTCCTTTTTCCTTTTTTTTTATGCGTACGAAAATCGATTTAACCTTCTGACCTAAAAAAAATAATTTTTTTTTTTTTTTATTAATCGCGCCAAAAACAAATAAAAATTTTTTTTTTTTTTACTCAAATACTTACGGAGACTTAATAATAATAATAATTTACGATTATATATATAAATTTTTTTTTTGTTCTTTCGTTCTAGCGACACGTTCGATTAAAAATCGCGTGTCGATTTTATTTTTTTTTTTTTAAAACGATTTGCATACGGTCAGAGAGTGGAAAAATTCAACGACTGGAAAATTTTATACCATCGAACGTGTACATTTTTTAATTACAAAACAATAATCGATTGTTTGTTTGTTTGTTTGTTTTTAAAAGAGGATTTGATGAATTTTATTTATGGGAAAAATTGTGGGGAAAAAATCAAAAAAAAATGTTTAAAACAAAACAACGATTTATTAAAAAAAAAAAATATAAAACAACAACAACAACCGACTTTAATAACTTTTAATATTTGTTTTGTGTTAAACAACATAACTTTTTTATTATTATTATTATTATTTCACGCGTTTATTTATAATTTTATACTTGTAAAAAGTGCGTTAAATTTGTTTGCGTGTGTGTATGCGTGGGTGGGTGTGAGAGTTTTTGCTTCTATCTCTTTCTTTCCTTCTCTCTCTCTTCCTCTCTTCTTGTTAAGGAAGTAAAAATATAATTTTCGTTATTTTTGGAGTTAAAATTTAATAATATATCACGACATTTTTGTGAAGAAAATGTAACATGAGATCAAAACGTAAAAAAAAAATTTGACCACGAAAAAAAAAAAGGATTTTAATTATATTCGTGATGAATAATAATTGTTTGAATATTAATAGTTTTTTTTTATTTATAATAATTTACGTTTAATAATTACAGACTGCATTTCGTACAAATTTTAATTATTATTATATATTAACTTACTTATTTAAATACGTATCCCTTATCCACACGATCGTTTTTTTTTTTTTGGGGGGTAGAAGGCGTGTTGGGTGGGGGTGAGGTGGGGTGGGGTGGAGGCAATTAATAAATAATAATTTAATGAGGAAAATCTTTTTTTTTTTGCTTTTTTTGTTTTTTTTTTTTTGTTTTATAAAATTAAGTTGACGCACACATTTTTGAAAAAAATTATATATATATGCTTTTTCTATAATATATAATCTTTTTTAATATAAAAATAGCATAACCTAGATTTTTAAGGCAAAAACTATTATCGTGGACTGGGTTGTGAGTGCGTGAGTGAAAAAGCGAGGAAAAAATAAAAGGAGGTCGTCATTATTATTATTATAAATTCGAAAGTTTATATAGATTTGAAAACCTTGAACGTTGTTTGATTTTAATTCGTTTGTGCGTTTGTTTCGTTTATCAGTGAAGTTTCTCGTTTTTTTTTTTTTTTTTTTTTTGTGTAAAACTCGTTTAAACATGGTGAAATAATTGCTCGACATGTTAATTTTCGTCGCGTCATATTTTTAAACGTAAAAAAAAATTAAAAGTTAAAAACAAATCGGGTTTAGGCTTTGTTTTTTAGTGATTATTTGATTAATTCTTATCATTTGATATATCATTTATGCTTGGAAAGTAAACAAATAACGAGATGAGCGAAAAAAATAAAGAAATTTTACCGGATTGGATAAACGGTTGTTTTATAGAAAATTCACTTAAAAAAAGCTGGAAATTCGAAAAATCCTTTTCAAAAATAATCAATTACGACGCAACAACGGCGGCTCCTTTCGGAGAACATTGCGGAAGTCAATTATTTCGAATAAATATAAAATATTTTTCAAAAGACGAAATAAAAGAAACGTCAATCATAGTTAAAATCATACCGGAAGGACAAATAGGAGATTTTTTACGAAGCGTTCCGGTTTTCGAAACGGAAGGAAAAACTCTTAGAAAAGTACTTCCGGTCGTTTACGAATTTTTAAAAAAAGGGTACCCGAACGAGGAAAAACATTGGCCCGATTGTTATTATGATCAAGGACCGCCGAAAAATATCATAATAATGGAGGATTTGAAATTAAAAGAATTTAAAATGGCGGACAGATTCGAGGGTTTAGATTACGAACATTCAAGTCTCGTTGTGGAATGTTTGGCTAAATTACACGGGACATCGATCGTAATGTTGATGGATGAAAAAAATTTCAAAGAGAATTTTGAAAATTACACGTATGTTTTTTGGAGAGAAAAAAATAAAGAAATATGTAAAACGTTATTCGATGATACGATAAAATTTTTGGGAGAAGACATGAAAACGTGGCCCGAATTTGATAAAAAACAATATTATATCGAAAAATTAACAAAATTGGATATTTTAGGGAAAACTTTGGCTGCGTGGAAAAACGTTGATAATAACGAATTAAAATCACTCATCCATGGAGATTGCTGGATAAATAATATCATGTTTAAATACGACGATACGTCTGGAAAAAAACCAACACAAATGAAATTTTTGGATTTTCAATTGACAACAATTCATTCTCCAATTATGGATTTAATTCATTTTATATTCACGAGTACGAAACACGATTCAAAATTGTTAATGATGGACGATCTGTTGGAAAAATATCACGTTACTCTCTTGGAAACATTTAAAAAATTACATCCTGATGGTGGGGATGCTGCGGTTCATCTGAAAAATTTTTATCATATCAAAGATTTGAAAGAAAAATTCAAAGAGAAACTATTTTGGGGTTTTGCTGTTTTGTGTTCATTCGTACCCTTTATGTTTACACCCGCAGATGAAATTCTTTCTCCCGATGAATTCTTATACGGAACCGACAATCGAGAATACAAGAAAAAAATTTTCTCGAACGGAAAAGTCAGAAAAATGATCGTTGAAAATTTACATTATTTTCATAATAATGACGTCATTTAAAATTTATCATTTATACCTACGTAAATAATTATTATAAATATTATTTATTATTCCACAAAATTATTTTTCAACATCAATTTACAAAAAAAAAAAAAAAAAAAAAATTAAAAACCCGTTTGAAATTATGACGTCACAAACAACGGAAACGATTCGGAATTTTTTTTTTTTTTTTTTTCATTTCATTTGTTTAATTTTAATTTTTTTTTTTTCAAAATGACGTCATAAAAATGGAGAAAAAATAAAAACAAAAACTTTTTCATAAAAAAAAAAAAAACATATTGAAATTCAATAACGCGATTTAAAATATAAAAGTAAAGTAGAACAACGTTTGTTGTCCTACGTTGTCCGCCATTTTTACTTTTTCTTTTTTTAACAAAGCCTCCGAGATCGTTCAACTTGGAAAAAAAAAATGACGAGACACGACACGAAGAAGATGAAAAAAAAAAAGAATTTTTTTTTTTTTTTTTACGTGGGTGTGTGAATTTAAATAATAATTGATTATTGATTTTTTAGTTTTCTTTTTTCTTTTTTTAACGGTTTTTTTCCTTTTTAAAATATTTAACGAGTTTATTTATTTATTTTTCGATGAAATAAAATTAATAATAATAATAATAATTATAAATAATTAAAAAAAAGAGAAAAAAAAATGTAGATAATAAATTATGAAAGGATTTTGTTGAGGCATTTGTAAAGTCATTTATTATTATTATTTCAATTGAATTTCGATATTTCATAATAATTTTATTTAAAAAAAAAAAAAATGGACGCCATTTTAATTTTTCCGATTCTAAATAGAAAAAAAAATTAATTCGAATTGTGTTCCTTTGAAAAAAAAAAAATGATAAAAATTACAAAAAGTAAAAAAAATATTTGAAATTTTCTTTTTTTTAATAATTTCAACAAGAAAAAAAGGAAAATTTTTCGTTTTATTGATAAAAAACAAAGAAAAAAAAAAGGAAAAAAAGGAAAAAAGGAAAAGTTTGAAGTGGTTGTTGTTCATCTTACAACCGGAAATAAAAAAAAAAAAAAAAATTCGTAATGGAATAAAAACTTTTTTTTTATCAATTTAAACTTTTCATTTTTTATTTAAACAAAAAAAAAATTACGTTTTCTTTTTCTTATTCTTATTCTTATTCTTATACATAATAATAATAATTTTATCACGATAATTTTTCTAAACATAATAATGATAATAATGATAATAATGAGTAATAAGTTTAAATGATTGTTAATCGTTTAGTAATCATTTTTATTTAATTTTTTTTTCTTTTCATTAAAATATAATAAAATCAATTGAAGTTAAAAAAAAGAAACGTTAAAGTCGACTACTTTCTATATTATTATTATTATTATTATTATTATTATTCGTACTCGGCGCATGTAAAAATATTTTTAAAAAAAATAAAACTCCATCCAAAAAAAAAGTGTAAAGTATTACGAGTAATTAAATAAATGTTTATTAATTTTTTCTTATTTTTTATTTTACGAACTAAAGTTTAAAAACGTTATTTAAAATTGGCGGGAAATTTTTTTTTTTAAATTTAAATTTTAAAAAACGGCGGGAAAAATTTTATTTGTCGCCATATTGAAAAATTTAAACTATCGTCGTCGGTCGATAATGTGGGTCGAACAAAAGTCAATATCGTGAGAAATTGTATTAATAATAAAACGGGTAATTGTTTTTTTTTTGTTTCCGCCCCCTCCCCTCGTCGAAAATGACGTCATGCAAATATGGGAAAAATATTGTTAATAATAATAATAATAATAATAATAATGACGAAAACAACTGCAACCAAAAACTATTTTTTTTTTTTGCTCTTTTCTGATGTTTAGTAAAATTTAAAATAAAATTACAACAATTGTTTGTCGATTTATTACTTTCGTAGTAGAACTACAGGAAATGACGTCATTTTATTCATCATCTTACGAATCGGTGTGAGTTTTTGTTCGTATTGTTATGGTTGTTACATAAAAAGAAGAAAAAAAAAACATGACAAAAAAATATTGTTTGTCGAGTAATTTTAAAGTCAATTTTTTTTTTTTTTTTTTTTTTTCAAAACTGCCCCAACATAATCCTAATTGGTGTAGTTTGTTTGTTTCTCTTTCTAACTCTCACTCCCACTCCCTCTTTCTCTCTCTCTCTCTCTTTTCATCTTAAATAATGTTTTAAACGAAAAAAAAAAACAAAAAAAAAATTTATTTAATGGACGTTAATAAAAAGCAAACAAACAAAAAGAAAAAAAAAAAGAAAAGTTTTTCAACGAGTTTGAATTTGTTCCAAATGATTTTTGGAATGAAAATAATAATAATAATAATAATAATAATAATAATAATAATAATAATAATAATAATAATAATAATGATGATGATGATGATAATAATAATAATAATAATGATAATATTAAAAAATAATGAGAGAAAAATGAAAAGAAAGAAAAAAAACAAAAAAAAAAAAAAAAGATTTTCAAGGTTTGAAATCAGTTGGGAGCGGGCAGGAAGGTGGGAGCGGAGGGGGAATTTTTTCTTTATTACGAACGGGATAAAAATTATTAATAATGATAATAATTAGTGAGATATTACTAAAATTTTTAGGTTTTAAACAGGTAAAATATAATCATAAATTAAATGTTTTTAATATTAATTTATAAAGTGTTTGTTTTCGGTTGTTCAAACCACCCAATAATTGCATTAATCATAACAAACGCAAGAGCACAACCAACCAATCAAAAAAAACAGGAAAAATAGTTTTGGCACACAACAATAAATCATAACAGCAAATATTTCATATAATTAGTAAAACAAAATGGTTGACAATTGAAAAAAAAAAAAAATTTGAATTTTGTAAATACAAAAATTTTAAATGAATTTATAAAACGCTTATTCGAACGCTTTACAAAACAAAAAACAAACAAACAAACAATGCTTAAATAATAATCATAGCACTTAATTTAAACACAAACAATAAAATTTTTCAGACTTTGTAGAATTATCATTATAACAAAAAAAAAACTTTGTGTAAACTCACATCATTCTTTTAAAAAAGAAAAAAAGAAAGATGGTGGTATAATTATGTTATTGAAAATTAAAAGAACGTAAAGTTTTTTTTTTTTTTTTTTTAATGCCTCCTCGTAAAACATAAAAAAACATAAACATAAAAAAAAAAACATTATTTTTTGATACTCTCTTAAATCTTTGGAATGTTTTCTCATGATATAACATTTACGTCACAAAAAAGAAAAAAAAAGTACTTAAAATCTTTAAATATGTTCTTGTTTTTCATTCTTCTCCCCCCCTATCCTTTCCTCCTCTCTTCCCCTCCCCGTTTGATTCTTTTCCCGATTTTTTGACTTTTCTCCTCCCCTTTCCCACATCATTTTTTCCCTCATTCATCGCCATCATCATCATCGTCATTATTATTATTATTAATATTTGTACATATATATAATTTTCCACATTCGCGTATTTAAATTGATTAATAAATAAAATAAATAAAGAGTAATATTAAAACTGTGCTTTTCATTTTTTAGCACCAGAGCGCAGCACAAGTTTTGGTGAGTTTCTTCTCCCATTTTATTGCATCCGTTTTTTATTTATTTATTTTTTTATTTATTTATTTTTTATTTTTTTATTTTATTCGTTTATTTTATTATTATTATTATTATTATTATTATTACTGATAAGAGTAAGTTATCACGATAGATATAAATATTTTAAGTTTTTATTTATTAATTTTTTTTTTTTTTAAACGAAAATAAAATTTTTTTTTTTTTTCGACGACGATAATAATAGTATTAATATCAATTATTATTATTATTATTATTATTATTATTATTATTATTATTATTATTATTATTATTATTATTATTATTATTATTAATTCCTGTTATTATTAAGTTTTTTTTTTATATTAAATTGCACTGCGGATTATTTATTTATTTATTTTTTTACTCACGAAAAAAAAAAACATTTTGCATTTATTTTTCATGTTATTTGAATGATTCTGTTTTATTGTGCATGTTAACAAAAAAAAAAAAAAAAAAAATTTAGAAAATGATTTTTTTTATTATAGTGTATAGAAAAAAAATCGATAGATCGATCCATCGATCGATTATAGATCACGGTGAATGATTGATTGATTGATAAAATTAAAAAGCGAATGAAAAATTGTATAAAAGTTAAAGGGATGAAAAATTATTATTTTTTGGTTAGAAATAAATAGTTGTTTTTATTTTTATTTTTTCTAGAATATTCTTTTATAAATAGTAATAAAAGGAGTGAATGATAATAATAATAATAGAAAATTTATTATCGTTAAAATTTTACGAAACAAAAAGTTTTTTTTTAAAAAAAAAAAATAAGGAAATGATAAAAGGAAATAAAATAAAACAAAAATATGCGAGTTTACGATAAATTATAAGTTAAATAAGTTATCGATAAAATTATTATAAGGAAAATAGTTCTTTTTAATTTTATTAATTCTCTTAATCCGTTAATCCTTTTGTCTTGAGGATAATACATATATATTATATATGTATTTATGCGTAAATAATACAAAAAAAAGGGTTAAAAGTTTTTTTTGAAAAAGGAAGTCGAAAAAAAAGAAAAGTTTTTATTAAAATTTTGTATAAATGAGTGTTTGTGTGAGTTTGTTTGTTTGTTTGTTCGTTTGTTTGAACATCCATCATCACAATAACAAAAAAAAGAAAAGTTATTAAAAGGCGGAAATAATTTTATAAAATTTATTTTCATTAAAAACAATGGAGGAAAAAAAAGAAAAGAAAAGGAAAAAATGAGACGGTTTTGTTTTTTCTTTAACGACAAAAGATAACGGCAAATTTTTTTTTTTATAATAATGTCGCAGGTTTATAAATATATTGCAAATAATAATTTTATTCTAGTGCTACGAAAAAAAAATTTTTGTAAAATTAAAATCTGATGAAATTTGAGATGATAAGAAGATAAAAAAAAAATTTTTTTTGAGGGGTTTTTTTTTTAATAAGAAATTTTTTATAAATTATACACGTGCATGATGTGACGTGGCATTAGATTATAACAAAAAATAATTTAAGTACACGACGACGTTTTAAAAAAACGAGTTTCATTTTAAATAATGTTTAAATACGAAACTATTTTTTTTTTTTCGCGGTTGCCTTTCGGCGAAAAATCTTCAATTTAAAATTTCATAAATAATTTTTCTTTTTTTTTTGCCTATCAACCTTTCTTTCAACAGGGCCGGAACCTTTCAACGTTTAATATAATCGATAACTTTATTCTTTTTTTTTTCGCTCCCTTTTCTTGGTTTTTTTTTTTTTTTTTTGTTCCGGGGGACCATTTTTAAAAACGGTCGTGATGATGACAACCATCATCGTCAGGGATTATGATTCTTAATGTTTCCGGATGAACTTTTTTCTAAGGGGGTTTAACCGTAAAAAATAAAGAACCGTGAAATCCAGTTGTCAATTCTGGAATGAATTATACGTAACGTATTTTGTCTGACATGATTTTAAATGAGGGGAAATTCCAGGGATGAAGGTTACGAAAGAATGAGAGAGAAAATACAAAGAGTAAACAATACCCATCGTAATTCATACATATACATATTTAAATTTATTTTAAATGACGTCATATTTCACGTATTATTATTATGTTTATAAATTATTTACGCGTAATTTATTCCAGATTTTTTGCAAAAAAAATTTTTCCAGAACTCCTTTTTTTTTTGTTGGCATTATTCATTATTCACGATATGTATCAGTCACGTAATTATTTCGATAATTATTATTATTATTATTATTGTTTAGTTTGTTATCCTTCTAAACCGGAAATGAATTATAATTATCGGTCGCTCACATAAATTCTTTCTTTTTTTTTTCTGTTTTTGTTTTCGTAATGAAATTTTATTTATGTAACGGTTTTTTTTCCTGCTGGAGTCCAGGAAAAAATTAGATTTTGTATCATCAACGATACTGGAAAGGGTTTTGAATGAAAAAGGTGAATTTTGAGGTCGTGTAAATAATTTTAAATTTATTACATGTAAAAATTTAACACGTGAAATGAATTTTATTATTATTGTTATTATTATTATTATTATTATAACGGTCGGACATGTTTTTCCAGGTCGAAAATTTTTATAATAATATGAAAAACATTCATTCATACGATTTTAAAATCTTAAATTTTATGTTATGAGTAAAGTTAACAATAATTACCGCCATTTTGTTTTTTTTTTTTTGGTTTTCTCCAACTGAAACTGATTCTTGTCACGCGAAATGAAATTTTTTTTTAAATCTGTTTTTCTTTTTTTTTTTAGGGGGTGGGGGAGGCGGGGGGAAAGAAATAAAATGGAGGACATTTATAAATTTAAAATAATAATAATAATAATAATAATAATTCTTCATTTTATTTTATATTTTGTTCCTTTCAATATAATAAAAGTTTTGGGTTTCGCAGCGTGATTTCTTTTCTCTTTTTTTTTTTTTTCTTTTCGCATAACACCACTAAATTATTACTCCGAAATTTGAGGGGGGCAGAGAAGGGGGAAGGGGGGAGAAGGAAGGGAAAAGGGCGTAGAGATGGTTTGAAATATTCACGTAATTATTAAACAACATTTCGTAACGGAAATGATGAAGTTTAACAAATTAAATTCTTTCGTTCGTTTTCTTATTTTTTTTTCTTTCCGGTTATGTTGTTATTATCATTATCATCATTATTATTATTATTTTTAGATTTATGGTTCATTTAAAAAAAAAATTTTTTTTTTCGTGTAATAATCGTTAAAATTTTTTTTTTTTTATCTTCTACCACGTATTTTTTTTTTTTTTTATTTTTGTTTATTTGTTTTGTTTTTTTTTTGAATATTTTTCTTTATTTTTTTTGTGAAAATAAAATAATAATAATAATAATAATAATAAATGGAATATTTTGATTCAAATGTTAATAATAATTGAATTTAAAAATATCCTGAGGGGGGAAAAACAAAATGGAAGATGAACTGAAAACAAAAAAAAACATCAACGGCAAAGCGAAATCCATTCAGATCATTAATTATTTTTAAAAATTTGTCCTGCCAAAACCAGAAACGACCTCCCCCGAGCTACGAATAAAGACCAAAAAAAAAGGAAAATGGAAAAAAAGGAAAATAAAAAAAAAAGGTTTACTGTAATGCGGCAAACGAGGAAAAAATAAAAAAAAAATTTTTTTTTATTTAAAATTCGTTAGACTATGAAAAAAATTTTTTACGTTTTTATTTATTTCTAGCGACCGAAAATAAATAATAATAATAATATTACGAAGGATGTGAGTTAGGGAGGAAGGAGGTGAGGGGGCGAGGAAAAGAGGAGGAGAAAAAAACGTGAAAAAAGAATTCGAAAAAAAAAATTTATTTGACAAAAATGAATTTTATATTCTCTCTCTCTCTCTCTCTCACTTCTTCAACCCTCTTCCTCTTTCCCAACCCCCCCCCATAAAAGAAGAAAAAGAAGAAAAAATTCTATAATAAATTTAACTATTTAGTTTCAATGACGTCATTAATTAAAAAGAAAAAAAAGAAAAGGCCGAAGAGAAAATGGAAGGAAAAAACATGTTTGTAAAAAAAAAAAAAAAAATGAAAATTTTAATTAGAATCATATTTTTTTTCTTTTTTTTTTTTTTTTTAATTAATCATTAACGAAATGGCTAATTATTTTTTACTTTAATGAAAAAATGCGTGGCATTCGATTTTCCATAAAAAAAAAATGGGGGGGGAAAAATTTATTAATATCAACTTTCGATCAAAAAAAAATTTAAAAATTTAAAAATTTAAAATGATTATTTTTTTGATAACGATAAAAAATTCATAACGAAATGGGAAAAAGGCGGGGGAGGGGCGGGGGTGGGCGAGAATGGGAGTGGGCGTAAAAAGAAATAATTAAATAGTCAAAATTTGAATGAATCCGACTACCCCTCTCCCCGCCCCCTGAATAATTTAATTTTAATTTTTTAATTGATTAAATATATATATTATTAAAAAAGATTAATTTTAATACTTTATATCTTTTCTCTTCTATCTTTATCTATTCGTTTATATTTTTCCTTTTTTCCTTTTTTTTCCAAAAAAAAAATTGTATTATTGGAATCAAAGGAAACAAAAAACAATAAGTAAAAACAAAAAAGGAAACAATAAAAAAGTAAAAGGAAAAAACAAAAAAAAAAACTTATATTTTTTTTTATTTTTTACGAGAAAATACACGACCGAATAGTTTTTATCAATAAAAAACAAAATTATTATTATCATCATCATCATCATCATCATCATCATCATCATTATTATTATTATCATTATTATTATTATCATTAATTCTTTTTTTTATTTTATTTATTTATTTTTATCTTCTTAAACTTTATAGTTTTTGTTTTCTTATTTTTTTTTTCTCCTCTTAGAAATTTCCACGACGTTATAAAATTTCGACGTGGAAAAAGAAAACAAAAAAATTTTTTATTTTTTAAATTAAATTATTAAAAAAAAGATTATATTATTATTATTATCATCGTTTTTTTTTTTTTTTCATCGATGATTTCTAATTGACATAAACGTGGAATCAGAATAAAAAAAATTTAATAAAAAATTTTAAATATAAATAATAAAAAGATCGTTAAAGTTAAATGATTATATTTTTTTTTAATGTGAAATTCGTTCGATATAATCGAATGATTATAAAAAAAAAAAAATCGAGAAAGGGCGAGAAAGGACGAGAAAGGGCCCCAAAGAACAAAAAATAAATAAATAAAGTACGAGAAAATTTTTTTTCTTTCCCCCTCTCTTCCCGCCCGAAGAGTAAATAAATAAACATCGTGCATACCTTGGGGGAGGGAGGGGGGCAAACGATTAAAACGTATTAACCCGACGGCGTAGTTTTGAAAAATCTATTGACACGTAGGGTAAACGTGCGCATCGTGTATGGAAAACTTTTAATTATATAAAATGATAAAACATCGTTTGAATAACAATAATAATTTATTAAAAAAAAAAAATGTTATGAAAGTTATGAAAAACAAAACAAAAGAGAGAGAAAAAAAGTTTTTAATTTTGTTCTTGTTATATTAAAGTTTCTGACACTGCAATTATTGTCGCTTTTCTTCTTTTTTTTTAATTAAATGTGTTTATGACCGTTGTTATGTTTTTTTTTTTTTAAATTTACGACATCTTACTTATTTAAAATAATAATAAAAAAAATTTGAGATAAAAAGATTTTTAATTATTATTATTAAAAGATTTAATTATTGTTAAAGAGGATCACGAACGCGGACGTGTATTTAGATAAATTTATTTTTTTTCCTCCCCCCTCTCTTTAGCTGCGAGCGATTACATTAGTTAAAAAAAAATTTTTTTTGTTTGTTTGTTTTTCCAGCATGCTAATGCAGCGACTTCTAGCACAACAAGCGTCGGAGGAGGTTCCGGAGCCGGAACCGGAACCGGAGGTTCCGTTGGTGGAAGTGTAACTTCCAGGCCTGCTCCTGGCCCTGCTTCCGCTCATTCCGGCACCAAATTTAGACATGGCCTACTTCAACTAATGATCCACACAATCGATCCACTTCACGACGGTAGGAACTTTAATATATATTTTCCTTCTTTTTTTTTCTTTATTGTTTTTTTCACAGCGTGATGTTTAATATATACCCCGTATATAATACCGGAAATGAGGGGGGTGGGAAAGAGGAAACGGAAATAAATATTATTATGAAAGGCAGAGTAGATATAATTTAATGTAGATTTTTCATTTTTTTTCTTTTTTTAGTTTTTTTTATTTATAAATTCTTAATAAATTTTTTTGAAATTTGAAAAAATCATCCGACGTCGCGATGATAATAATAATAATAATCATAATAATAATAATAAATTAATTTATTCTTTAGAAAACCGAAAAAGAAAATCGAAGTGAAAACAACAAAAAAAAAATTCATATAAAATTATTCTTAAAGCTTCCTCCCCTTTTTTCCAGTCATTGATTGCTCCCGTAAAAAATAATAATAATAATAATAAAAAGGTGATTAATAATTATTTCCAAATGAAATCATCGATTTAAAAAAAAAAACGAAAAGGTTAAAAAACATCACGTGATTCAAAACTAAAAAAAAAAAATATACATATTGCACGTAAACAAAACAAAATTTTCTTTTTTTTTTTACTTTTTATTATTATTATAGTGCTATAAATATTTTATATAGCGCTAAATATTTTATTTAGTACCTTTTATAGCTCTCTCTACCGCGGTTAAAAAAAATCACATGGATTTATAGTCGTGGGAAGAAGAAGGAAAAAAAAAAGAAAAAAAAATTTCATTTTTTTTTTTAAATTAAATTTTTTTTTTTTTTGGAAAATAAAAAGAGAAAATTTTGTCGTTTGCTTTTTTTTTTTTTTTTTTTTGAAAATTTCAAAATGTTTTAATGTTTTTTTTTTCCTTCGGCAAGGTAAAAAAAAAAAAAAATTTTATATGTAAATTTATTCGAAAAAATTTATTACGAACAGTACGAATGGCGCGTTTTTTTTAACGTCATCACTACAAAAACCAAATACGAAGTTATTGTAATGAAATCCCTGCTTGAAGGCTTTGCCCCCCCCCCTAGTTCCCTCCTCCCGGATCCCGCCAAAAAAAAATGGCTCCCGTAATTTTACTACCGTAAATCATAACCGACTCGTTATTTTATAGCGCTATAAAATTTTTTTTTTTTATATAAAAACAGTTGGAAAAAGGTTGAAACCGAAAAGGTTTTATTTATTTATTTTTTTTTAACATTTTAAATGAATAACGGGTGTCGGTACGCCGTAAAATAATAATAATAATAATTCGTTTTACTAATGAAAATTTAAACGAAAATGAAATCGAAAGAAATTTGGAGGGAGGGGGAGAAAAAAATTAGGACGTGGAATAATGTTAGAAAAGAGGAGATCAAAATAGAAAAAAAAGAGGTTAAAAAATTCCAGGGACAAAAATTATCATTATTATCATTATCATTGTTTTTCTATCCCCCTCTCCCTCCCCAGAACTTACGTGCAACCTTATAATAATTTATAATTCGAAAAAAAAAGAAAATTTGTGTCGGAAACGAAGAAGAAAAACAAATTGATGGCTATTTAATGAAAGAATATTTTAACCGGTTGTGTAAAAATCTTACTGGAACTTTCTGGAACGTGAAAAGAAAAAATTGTTTTCGTTTATCGATTTTATTACAAACTCGGTTTTTAAAGCGTTTATTATTATTATTATTATTATGTTAACGACTGTTTTTATAAAATCGCGTTTTAAAATTCGTTTCAGAGAAAAAGAAAAAAAAAATGTTAAAATCGGAGTGTTTATTCCAGAATTTCCAGAATTGAGAATAATTTTGTATAATAGACGACGCTGGAATTATTCCGGTCAATATCAAAGTTTCAATATTATTATTATTATTATTATTATCAGTCACGCGAACGCATGCACGCATTTTCGTTACCCAGATTTTTATTATCGAATTTCTAACGGTGAATTTGTATTATAATAATAATAATAATCATTTAACTGACGAAACTCGGGTTTTTCCAGCAAGCGGAAAATTTTCTTCTGCTTTTCTTTCAAAAAAATTTTCGATTTCCGTTTTTTACAACCTTTTTTTTTTTTGAAAAAAATTTCGTGGATCGTGGGAATTTCCTGTACATTATTTTCTTTTTTCCGTTTCCTCTGCTATTCTTTTTTTTTTTTTTCCTCTCCAGAGTAAATTTATTACTATTATCATCATCATTATTATCATTATTCGAAGAACATAGAATTTAATACCTGGAAAGGCGGAAAAAAAATTTTTTTTTGTTAATTTAATTAAAATAAATAATTAATTAATTATATGCGTAATAATTTTTAATCGCATCAAAGGTTTTTCCAAAAAAAAAAAAGGAAAAAAAGGAAATTTTCCAGCTGGAATTTTAAGCAAAAAAAAAAACAAAAAACGGTCGTAAAACTTTTCCAAAAAAAAAAAATTTTTTATATTTTTTCGACATGGAGAAGATAAAAAAAAAAAATTAAAAATGAAGCCTGGAGAAAGTTTTAAAAAAAAAAAATTTTAAACTTTCCAGGTACTTTATAATAATAATAATAATAATAATAATAATAATAATAATAATAATAATAGTAAACATTTTTTTTTTTTTTTAAAACCAAAAATTCCAAAAATGACTTGCGCTAAAAGTTAAACAAAAATTTATTATTATTATTATCATCATTGTAATAATAATAATAATATTTTTCATTCTCTTTTATTCGGTAAAAGGTTTCTAATAAATTTTTTGAATTGTTCATCCGCACAAAAGGTTTTTTTCTCGTTTACCTTCCAGCTTGGTTTCCGTTCCAGAATTATCGTATTATTAATCTTCGTACCGCGAATATTTTTATAACTGATTAATCATTATCATTATCATTATTATTATTATTATTTAACTCGTGATTTCTTTTTTTTCGCCCTTCCCCCCGCTTTTGACATTTCTTAGTTTTTAATAAGATTTCTCATTCAAGTCATAGGTAATTAATTTTTTTTTTCTTTTTATTAATAGTAATAATAATGATGATGATGATGATGATGGTGGTGGTGAACAAATAATAATAATAATAATAATATAAATTGTTTTGGAAAAGACAATATCGAGCCTGGAATTTCTTTTTCCAGGGTTAAAAAATTTTTTTTTTTTTAAATAAATTAGTAAAGATTTATCCAAACACTGGAATCACTGGAAAAGAAAACGAAAAAAAAAAGAAAAAAAAGGTCGAAAAGTTTTTTTTTTCTTTTACGAAAACTAATAATAATAATAATTTTTCAAATATGAATAAGAACAAAAGTTAAATAAAAAAAAAAAAAAAAATTGATTGGATAAATCTTTTATAAGCGTAGCAAAAAGAAAAAAAAGTTATTATTATTATTATTATTAATTTTTATCCGTGACCTAGATTTTTTTTGGAGGCTCCATGCATTGCCGAATGAGATTCGTCATCATGGAAAAACATCATGGAGGTCACATTTGATCGATATTGCGAAAGGTTTAAATTTTAACCTTTTTTTCTCTTTCTTCTCTTTCTTTTCTTTCTATTCTTTTATTGTTCTTTCATTATTATTATTATTATTAATTTATTTTTTGTTTTAACCGGAGCGGATCGACCTGGAAAAAAATCATTATTATTATTATTATTATTATTTCTACTACTACTGTCGGGGATTTCCATTTTTTTTTTGTGCGCATTAAAAATTCGTCTGAAGGTTTTTCTTTTTTTTTTTCAAAATGTTTCGTTTTTTACAATCCACAAGAGGAGTTTAAAAAACCTTTTAAAATCTCATCAAGAAACTTGAAAAAAAATTTTTTTTTCTTTTGTTTATGAATTTTTGTCGTCTGCTTTCCCATTCCCCTCCATTTAAAATTTATTTTAAAAAAAAAGTAAACAAAACAAATAAATTATTTTCAATTTAATTTTTTGATTTTTTCCTTTTTCCAGTATGTTTGTTTGACTTTTTTTTGGAAAATAATTATATTGTTATTATTATTATTAATCGTTTCGAGGGAGTCGAAGGAAGGTGGGACCGGGTGGGGGGGGGTTAATTAAAATTTAATGACTCTGAGAGAAAAAAAATATTTGCATTGAAAAAATAAAAAATAAATTTATGACGTCGCGCTATAATAATTTTTATCCGGATCCTCCTCCCTCTTCCCACTTCCCCCCCCATCGACCCCTTTTAAATTTTGGGTTTTTTATTTATATTCGACCCCTTTTAATTTAAAAAAAATTTAAAACAAATGAGAACCGTAATTAACATTTAGAAAAATTATTTTATTTTACTTCCGTTTGATGAGAGTGAATTCGACGATTCCATTTAACGCCCTTTTACCCGATTCGGATAAAAAAAAAAATGGCGTCGATTAATTTTAAACATTTCAACGCAGAATTCATAAATAAATAAATAAATAAAAAAGTTAAATAAACGACCGACGGCAAAACAAAAAAAATAAATAAATAAATAAATTGACTATAAATTTTGTTTAAAAAAATGTAACTTACGTGTTGACGTCATTAAAACTTTTTGTTTTTGTTTATCGATTCAATTATCGATTTTTAAAAAATCTTTTGATAATAAAAAAAAAAAAATGGCGGACGTGATAATAATTGAATTTAAATCAATGTCGTCTGTAATTATTTGAAAAAAAAAAAAAAAAAAATCAAAAACGGTTATGTGTGTTACGCGTAATAAATCATTTTGCCAAAAAGGGGGGATGAGGAGGTCGTCGAAATTTTCGGTTTTAGTGGGATGGGAGTGGAAATCCTCCCACCGCGGGGTGTGGGGAGGCGGGGAGGAGGGAGAGGAAGAGGGGGAGGAGTCAAAACAGAAAAAAAAATTCTATCATTGCATGTTGATAATATTGTAATGTTGAAAAATTCCCATGAGTGTGCGTGAGAAGGCCGCAAAACCACACGAATGTATTTTTATACCCTTATTGGAAAATAAATAAAACCAATTTTTATTATTAATATTATTATTATTAATAAATAAATTTATTAAATTTTTTTTTTTTTTATTATAAATAATATTTAGTATGTTATATATAGATTTAGTAAATAATTAGTTTTTAAATAAATAAATAATTTTATTTTTAAATCACATTAGTTTAAAAAAAAAAAATTAATTTTATTTATTAATAAGCACAATTTATTAATAAAAAACTTGTTATCATTTATTCTAGATCATTCGGAAAAC